GCAACGGTCGGTGGACTTCGAGATGAACCTGCTCAGGGCCGCGAGTTTGCCGGTCAGGCTCTGAACTCCCTTGATCGACGTCGGCGGTCGAAGGTCTTGTACTGCTTTGATCTTTTCAGGGTTTGCGTTGATGCCGCGCTGGCTAACTATGTATCCTAAGAATTTTCCCGATCCGACACCGAAAGTACATTTTTTGGAATTTAACTTCATCGAATAATCACGCAAAATGGAAAACATTTTATTAAGATCGTTTACATGATTGGACGCGTACACGGACTTGACTAACATATCATCTACGTACACTTCCATACATTCACCTATCAGACTAGCAAACATTTTATTAACTAGACGTTGGTAAGTGGCCCCGGCATTCTTCAGTCCGAACGGCATCATGGTGTAGCAGTAAAGACCACGTGCCGAGTAGAAGGAGGTATGCTCCTCGTCGTCCGGATGCATGGGAATCTGATTGTAGCCGGAGTATGCGTCCATGAAGCTCATCAGCTCGTGCCCTGATGTGGCGTCGACCATGTAGTCGATGTGAGGGAGGGGATAGCTGTCTTTGGGGCACGCCTTGTTTAGGTCGGAGAAATCAATGCACAACCGCCATGCCCCGCTGCTCTTCTTCACGAGTACCGGGTTGGCCACCCAGGTCGGGTACCGAACTTTGCGTATGTACTCGTTGTCCTTGAGCTTGGTCACCTCTTCTTCTAGGGCTTGCTGCCGGTCGGGGCCGAGCTTCCTCGGCTTTTGCACGACCGGCTTGACTGTGGGGTCGACCTGCAGCCGATGGCAGGCGACCTGTGGGTCGATGCCGACCATGTCCTCGTGGGTCCACGCAAAGACGTCTGCGTTTTTCCGGAGAAACTCGGTCAGTTCGGCCTTCATAGGCCCCGGCAGCCTGCTCCCAATCCGGAGTTGTTTTTGGCAGGTCTCTTCGTCGATGAAGATGACCTCGACTTCGTCCATTGGCTCGGCCCTCTTCGTCCCCCGTTTTTCTTCGTATTGAGTCCGGGGGTCGAGCTCGTCTTCCTCCGTGATCGGTCTTTTGCCAGCCCTTCTCCCCCTGTCCCCGTCGAGGTTGTCTTCGACGCCGTCCTCGGCGGGATCCGTCACCTCGGCGCCTGGGGCCGAGTTATCTGCTCCAGCGTTGGGCTCCGCGGCTGTCGGGTCGGCACCCGTGGAGGTCAGGGGACGCGAACCTGTCTGGTTTCCCAGCATGCGGTTGCCCCCGTCACCGTCGTGTGCCGACTTGGTGTCTGCCACCCCGGCGTCTTCCCGTAGGTTCGCCATGTTTATTTCGGTGCGCGGGATGGTGAGGATGCATTCCCGCGCTTCCTTTTGGTCTCCTCGGTGAGTCCCCTCCCCGTCGGGAGTTGGGAATTTGAGAGAGTAATGAAAGATGGAGACGGCGGCCTTCAGTTTGTAGAGCGCCGTCCTGCCCAGTATGGCATTGTACTCACTCGGGCAGTCCACGATTTTGAAGGTTTCCAAGATCGTCTTCGTGGGCTGCCCCCTTTCTCCGAACCGGACCGGTGGCGTGACCTGACCAACCGGGGCGATGGTCTGGCCGTTGAAACCCTGGATCCGCTCCCGGCAAGGCTGTACCTCCTTCCTATCGATCCCCATCTTCTTGAAGGTCTCGTAGTAGAGGATGCTGGCGTAGGCCCCGGTGTCGACCATGATGCGATGGATCTTAATCGCCATGATCGGCGCCGTGATCACCAGGGTGTCGGAGTGGGGATGGTCGAACAGGAAGGCGTCTTCGTCGTTGAAGGTGATGGTGTTTGGGGTCGGCTCCGGTGCCGGTCTACTGTGGGCATGCATCACCCTTTGCCCGGCGTGGTAGGCCTGTCGGGCGTAGGCCTTGGTTTGTCTCCGGGAGAGAAGGGACTCGCTCCGGCTTGTGTTGACACGCCGGGTCGGGGGGTTGGCCGGGTCGGCCCCGGTGTGAGGGGACCGGTCTCTTTTTCTGCCCCTGGAGGTGCCGGCCTCATCTTGATGGGTGGGGCAGAAGGTCATGATCTCATGGGGGCCGCCCTGCTGCGACTTCTTTCTTCGAGGATTTACGTCGGCATCCTCGTCACTGTCGGGGTTTTCCTCAAAGCGCCCCCCTTTCTTTCTCTTGTCTCCGGAGTGAGTGAACTTCCGAAGTTGGGGGTCATCGATCAGCTTCAGAAGTGCCGAGATAAGATTCCGGCACTGATCAGTGTTATGCCCGTGCGCCTTGTGGTAGGTGCAGTAGCGGGTCTTGTCTACTTTGTCCTTGTCGGTGAACATCGGTTTGGGGTCCGGTAATAACCCCTTGGCCTTGATTTCCTCGTAGACCGCCGCAGCCCCTACCGAGAAGACGCCCTGGTAGCTTTCCCTCAGCTCTTCGGCCCTTTGCTTCCGCTGAGCTCGGATCTCAGCAAAGGACTTGCTCGCTTCCCCGATTTTTCCTCCTTTGCCTTCGCCTTTGCCGGTACCGGTGCCGGTGTGGCGTCGAAGGTCGGGATGGATGAGGATTCCTCCGCCATGATATAATCCTGAGCGCGGGTGAGGAACTCCTGGTAGGTGGTCGGTTTGTTCTGGCACAGGGACCACCTGAACAGCGTCTTTGGTCTGAGGCCACCCTGGGCCGTGATGAGCAGGGCGTCAGGGTGGCACCGCTCCATGTTTTGTACCCGGTCGTTGAATCGAGCGATGTAGTCTTTTAGGCTTTCATTCTCGCCCTGCACAATGTTGGAGATTGATTCTTTGGGGGCGAGATTAACCTGTGACCCGATGAAGTGGGACCGGAATGCCGACCTGAGCTGTGCCCAGGCCGAGATGGAGCGGGGGTAAAGGGAATGATACCACCTCTGCGCCTTGGGCCCCAGCGTTAGAGAGAACATTCGGCAACGCAGGGCATCGGAGGCGCCGTGCAGGTCCATCCATGAGGTGTAAAGGCCGAGGTGCGAATCGGGATCCGAGCTCCCGTCGTAGAGGCCGAGCTGGGGTATTTGTATTCCCTTTGGGACGGCCTCTTGCAGGATGTCGAGGGAGAGGGGTGAGGCGTTGTCCGCGACCCGAGGAGTGGGCCGTGTATGGGTTTGTTGATGAGCTGGGAGTGAAAGCTCACTCCCGGTGGGTTGCTGACCTTCCAATTCGGCAATTCGGCGTTTGAGGGCTGCGACCTCCTCAGTGTCGTGGCCGATGGCTTTGCCGCGTCTGATCACCTCCCGGAGATCGTGGTTGGCGTGGCTCTTGTCACCCAGGCGCTGTTGGACAGAGCGACGAACGACCGGGAGGCTTCGCTCCGGCCGGCTCTCCCCTGTCTGTTCCGTGGGAGCCGGTCTGGTACTCCTGTCGCGGCGGTTATGGGCCTCACGGTTCGGTGATTGGGCCGTGGTTTTGGATTTCGCCGGGTTCCTCTGTCCACCGGTCTCCTTTTCAGGAGTGTGGAGCAACGTGTTTCCGGGGTTCTCCATGGGCACTACAGTGTTCGCCCCGGCGGTTTGACTGGCGAGGGCCTTGGCGAAGACCCCTTCGAGGGCTTTGAGGACGTCAGGATGCTGCAAAGCTGCAGCGAATGTCGGAACTGGGGGAACAGGGACTATGGGCCCCTGTTGAACGCGACGAGAGGACTCCCCGCCGTTGCGTCGGCGAGGCTGGGAGCCGGATTGCTGGGTGGAATCGTCATGTCCAGATGAAGGCATTTTGAGTGGCTTTAGAAAGCGAAAAAGTGGGAAAAAGATGAGCGTGGTGTGGAGTTTTTACAAGATCGAAAAGTTGACACCAAATAACTTATGACGGCCCTCCTTCTAGCGCCAAACTGTTGACGGGCGTTTCCGGTCAACGGTTAAAAAGGTAAATAATGGAAAAGAAGTAAAGAAAAGACAAGGGAATACGGTTTAATTGCAGGTTTATTAAAAGATCACGAGGTCGGCCTCTCGTACGAGGTCGGCACTTGCGATGTACTTAGATTTCTTACACGAGTTTCTTACAAGTCTTAGAGAGAGAAAATATTGAAAAAGCTCTTTACAGTTGAGATTCAACAACCCAAAATAAATGAAGTGGGCTGCTATTTATAGTTGCCTTAAATGTGGCACTGTTCAGGTACTGTTCATCGGTCTTGTCGTACAGTGTTTCTTGCAGAGTAGTTCGGCACCTCTCTGACAGAATTTAATGCGATTTGAGGTTTTCCTCATCATTGTCTGACTTGCATTTAATGCTGGCAGGCTTTGTGTCTTGGCTAGGGGAGATAGGTCAACAGGCTAGGATGTCCCATCCATCAGCCAATGATTACTCTCCAAGTGGCATTATCATACTATTATCGAGATCGAGATCGACATTCCTCATTGTAGAGACCCGCTCCGAGACTCCAAGTCGGCACCTCGGCACCTTTTCTTCGCCTGTTTCCTCGGCACCAGGGAACCTTTCTTTCAGCTCGTCTCTTTCAGCCCGGCACCGGTGGCGTCTTAATTTAAAACGCCGAACTGACGAGCGGTCTCGCGATGATGTCAGGGTCAAAAATTTTTCCGGTCCAGCTCGGTACTTTATGGGTGGACCGGGTCTCCGGTTTGGCTCTCGGAATATTGTGTTGTCCGGTTCGGTCTTATCGGCGAACTCGGGTGTCAACACCATTGAAGAGGGTTTTTTATAATTGAGAGAGGTGAACGTGGGATGGTGCTGGTTTTGCGCAGAGAGAGAAAAGATAGCATAGTGAGAGAGAGAATTAAGTTGGTTCCGCTTTTTTGGTAAGTGAATAATTAATTTCAATTAACTAAAACACTTACTTTAATTTGTCTAGATAATTCCTTAAAAAACCGTTACATCTTGACCATTCTTATTTCAAGTATAAATGTAATTTTTTATGCATAATTTAGTAAATTTATAAATAAGCTTATAATAGGTGTATAAATGTAATGTATACCATAACTTAAAGTAAGGGGTGCAAATTCCTCTATATTTTTTTCTAGTTTAGTGATACTATTTCTACAAGGCCCGTTGGAACTTTAAACTTTCAAGGCCAATCACTAGGTCAAACAACTTCATCGACATCAAAATATTTTTCTCTGGTCAAAATGTCAACTGAAAGGTGGTCCGGACGAATAATGTAAAAATGAAGGATAATTTTTTATTTTTTTTAATTTACTGTCCAGTCAGGCCCATTTCTTTTCCTCTTCGTTTTTCCGTCAAAATCCCGCAACATCGACAGATCACCATTTTTGTGTGAAGAACGAAAAGGAGACAAACGATGGGCGATCAAATCGCAAGAGGCGAAGAGTTCGAAAAGAAAGCTGAAAAGAAACTGAATGGATGGGGATTGTTCGGCTCTAAACACGAAGACGCCGCTGAGTTGTTCGATAAAGCTGCCAACGCGTTCAAGCTTGCCAAATCATGTATGTATATACCTCATTTTTTCTATCATCTTATTTATATTCTGTAAATGATCGATGACTTTCTTGTGTGATTTTATTTGATTTAATGCATCTGTGATTTATTGAAGTCCATGTTAATTCCACGGTTGGATCTGGATCTGAAGACATGGATGAATTAAACAGAAAATTATATAATCTGTTGTATTGACAGCCTGTTATATACTCATAAACACACACACACAAAAGGAGCTTGTGTTTAAATTAGCTTGTAATACTGAACATGAACAAACGAACACAGCAAGTATATGACGTCTAATGACTATCGTGCGTAAATTTATGTTTGATTCTCTCCAAATTCTATTTAAGGGTTACTTCTGAAATGATGACGGTAAATTTATGTTTGATTCTCTCTGAATTCAACTTAAGGGTTACTTCTGAAACGAGAGAGAATCCAACTTAAGAGTTACTTCTGAAACAATGACGGAATGCACTGATTGAGTTAACAATATTATGAAATGTTGTGCTTTTGCGTTCGTGTAGATAACTGGTGTGGTATTGAATTTGATAAACTTCAGTTGTTGATACATAACCGACACGGCACCCAGAATGTGGAAAGACAAACAGATATTGAAAATGATTAGTATTTCTGGACTTTTTTTCTTTCATCCTGTCTTCTTTATAAGCTCGTTTTGAATGTGTTTCAGGTCCTAACTTTGAGTAATTGTGTTCAACAGGGGATCAGGCTGGAGCAGTGTACATTAAGTTAGCAAATTGTCACTTGAAAGTAAGTTTTTGGTAGGGCCGTGGTTTTTTCTGTGCTATAAGGTTATCTTATTCTTTCTCTCACGTGAATAGTGGTTCTTAACAACTGTGATTATTCAAATATACGCATGCAGTTGGATAGCAAGCACGAGGCAGCTAATGCATATGCTGATGCTGCTCATTGCTATAAAAAAACCAACATAAAAGGTAAGTGTCTTTTCCTGATGTTTATTTTTTTGGTCCTGAAACGAAAGCCGTGTGTTTGGTATGATGCTACAAAAATTTTGTAAATAGAATATTGTTGTGAATTTCAAACGGAAGGAACAAACACAAGCTTGTGTTCCTCACTTGATTCGGTTTTTCAATTTATGAGCCTTTTTCTTTGTATGAAATAACTTCTACGGATATTTGGCAGTTGAGTGGTTATGGTAATCTCATTGCTTTTCAATTTGAAGTTACGAAGTTATGTGAGTCCTGCCCATTTTGCAGAGTCGATATCATGTCTGGAGCAAGCTGTAAATTTGTTCCTGGATATTGGAAGGCTAACTATGGCTGCCAGATACTATAAGGTAAAAATGTTAGAAACATGTCAATGTCAGGTGATGGCGTTATAGGTATTCGTCTTTTTGAATCATCGAGCTTAAGTTCAACTCCTCGTCAGACAATGTGGGAAATTTATTTTTACGTCTTATTTCTGTTCAACATGTAATAAATGTGAAACTACTTGTAATTATGATCAGCGCTATCAGTGACGGATGGCAGAAAATGACTGCAGGCTTAAATACTGCCGCCATAACAGCTATCCTTCACTGGCTTCACAAATTTCTAATGGTGGTTAACAAGAAATCCGCCATGGGAATTTGATAACACTTTATGATACATAGGATCTCAAAAGCAGTATCATTATTATTGAAGCTAATTAACTAAGCTGAAAGACAAGAACTGGAAATTTTTACTTTGCAGGAAATAGCTGAATTATGTGAGCAAGATCAGAACTTGGAGCAGTCTATTGTGTACTATGAGAGAGCTGCTGACTTGTTCCAAAATGAAGAAGTAACATCAACTGCAAATCAGTGCAAACAGAAAGTTGCGCAGTTTGCTGCCCAACTGGAACAGTTAAGTTTTGCCTACTCGTTTTGCAATGTGTCATGTTTCTATCTCATTAATGGTTTGAGTTTTTATACTAAGTGCTTAACTGCTTTACCTCATCATTTTTTTTATTAATATGGGCTGTTTACACATTCCATCTTGAAAGTGATATGATTTGAATGAATGACTTGAATCGTTTGTTAGCATTTCAGTAGTTTTATGCATGCATGTGCATCTTATGGTACCTTTAGCCAGAACAGAATCCTGTTTGCTGCTGTTTATCCTCTTCTCATAGCTGCCATGTCTCTTTACTTGCAACCTGAATATTCAGACCTCTGTGGATGCACGTTAATCTTTAGTGAGAAAAGAAATCCACTCATCCCATAATCAATCCCGTGTTCCATTGGTCTAATTTTTTGTGCGTTGTTCCCATGATTTCAAAGGTTATAAATATGATTTTTTGTTTTGTTTTTGTTTTGTGGGTCATATTATGTCACGCTGATGCATATAATTGTATTCAAGTAATTATAATTCTGGCAGTCCATTCTAGAGCTTTGTCATGCATAAACCAATAGTCTTGGGTTTACACATTCTTGATTGAAAAGAATACCAAGTATAAGTTGGCCAAGTGTTGCATATCTGGAACATTTGATACATGCTTGTATATAAAAAGTTTTTGTTTTCATTGGATATTTGGTTGGGGTTGGTTAAATTTGAAAAAGTTGGTATGGTTAGTTGTTAGTGGGTCTATTAAAATAATATTTAAAATAAAATGATTAAAATTAAGTTGATGTAAAAGTAGGAGAGATAAGATGTGATGTGATGGTTAGTTAAAATTATGTGAGTTGATGAATAGTGAGTTAAGGTTGATGTTGTGTGTAAGAATGATTGATTGATATTATTTAATTATATTAAAAATAGTGATGATAGTGAGGTTGAGTTAAAGTTGAGTTAAAAAAATGGTTGAGTTAAAAATGATTGAATTTTTTGGGTTGAATTTGTATCCAAGCATGCTCTAATGGGTCCACATTGTGCTCAGATATCCGAAGGCTATTGAGATATATGAAGAGATAGCACGGCACTCTCTAAATAATAACTTATTGAAGTATGGAGTTAAAGGTCACCTTCTTAATGCTGGTCTTTGCCAGCTCTGCAGGGGTGATGTTGTTGCAATAACCAACGCATTAGAGAAATACCAGGTAATTCTTGTGTTGAGATAGTTGCTTACACCATTAAACCTTTTGAGTGTGTTTTTATGCATGCTTGCTTTACTGAACATATCAATGTTGTTTTCATTTGAAGGAATTGGATCCTACGTTTTCTGGTACCAGGGAATACAAATTGCTAGCGGTATGTCACGTCTCTTTAGTATTGCTTCTCTGTTCTATATTTTGCTTTGCACCTTTTTTGTTGCATCTTGGAGTAGTTGTGCATCTTCTATTTCTGAAGTGTTTATTTAGCTGTAACATCTAATATCTTGGTATGTTCATTGCTTATGTTACTTTTTTCCCAACTAAAATGAGTCCAAGGTTGATGTGTGTTCTTGTATTCTAGCATAAATGATGATATTTATCCTCTTATTGTGGTCAACCAAAAGTGAAAGTTTGACCTGATATAATTGTACATGTTGGTTGCAGGATTTAGCTGCTGCAGTTGATGAGGAAGATGTTGCTAAGTTTACTGCTGCCGTCAAGGAATTTGATAGTATGACTCAACTGGTAAGTCTATTATTATTCAGGTTGTGTCTATTGTTAATATGCTGCAGTCGAGGAACTGTCTTCTTAATTTCTATTTAGTAAAACAAATACTACCTCCTATTCTTTTTAAATGTCATTTTGGCTTTAGCAACCATTAACCAAATAAATGACGTTTTGGATCTTTTGTACATATTTTTCCGTTATTACCCTCATTAGCTAATAAATACACTACATCTTTTCATATTTAATCTTCATCTTTTCCGAAAACTTCCATCTATATTTTCATTAGAGGGTTATTATTGGCAAAAATAAGATTCTTAATTACTGTGCAACTTCTCAAAACGACATATATTATGAATAGGAGGGAGTAATTATTGACTCCAAACATGTTATGGACATCGGCCAGAATTGTTATAGAAGTTGTCCAATCATTCTGTCAATGCTCTTCTAGGAACTATGAGACTGTTGAACTACTTAAAAGTGGTAGCTGGGTCTTTTTTATTGCTATCTCTGTACTTATACTCACTCACTTATTCTGTATTTATATTCTTCCTACGAAAAAATGGCACGGTTGTATTATCAACTTAGTCCTTCGAAAGATTAAACTTGTTCTGTTTGTTCTACTCAATTTCCATCCTTGGTTATGGAGAGTTTTGGTGTTTTTATACTTTTATAGGATGCTTGGAGGACAACACTTCTATTGCGAGTGAAGGAGGCCTTGAAAGCGAAGGAGCTGGAAGAGGATGATCTTACTTAATCACTTGTTTCTTCTCATTTTTCTATCCGAGTGCTTTGTGATGGTTGTCTCGTTGTGCTTTTATTTCTGAGGTTTTAGTGTGTAATATAACTGAGATTTCCTTACATGGAGTGGATATGATTGCATTTATAACCTTGTGGCCGTTGTGACTAAACAAGTTTACAGTATACGGGCAATCCATTTTATGGACTCTGTTGTATTGGATTTGCTGGGATCAGTGGATTCTATCTCCTGAGGATACCGCCAATTCTAAAGTTTGCAAAATCCGTCTTCTATTTGAATTGTCAAACTATTCCAGCATTAACTATGCTAGACTTGGGCTTTCACAGTTTCTTTTTTCTTTTTCTTTTTTTTTTTTGGTAAACAAAGATGGTTTTGTACCGCGATTTTATGGTTCATGTTAATCATACACTGAGGGACTTAGAAATATCTCAAAACTTTTTAGGATGTATGAGAAATTTATTTTAAATTATATATGCGAGGAAATAAGAGTTTTTGTAGCTTAAAACTGAGTTTAATATTTAAAAAAATTGTTCTGATTAGGAAAGAATTTATTATTAATTTAAAAAAAAAAATGAGTGGAAAAAAACCAAAAGGCCGAATTCCAATAATCCGTTTTTCAATATAAAACGTATTATAGAAATACGTTTTTAGGTATAAAATGAATTATGGGAATCCGTTTTCCTAATAAAAAATTAATTAACGCAATAAACGTAATTAAGTTAATTAAAATACGGTAAAACGTATTTCTCAAATACGTTTTAAATTAAAAAAAACTCAAAACGATTAAAAATTAAAAAAATGAGTATAAACAGTGAACTTACAATTTAGAAAATGAAAATGGGCGATGAGGTCAAGTGAGTAGAGGAGGTCTATTTATAAGTACGAAGTTTGGAAAAAATTATATTGAATGAGTGGAGAATGAGTCCCATATATGTAGTTAAATGTATGAGTAGGAATGTGGGTGTTTGTTTAAATGGAGAGAGTAGGAATGTGGGTGTGTGTTTAAATGGGAAGAGATTTATTGGAAAGATGATGTGGAGATGATGTGGATGAGAGAGAGTGTTACTTTTTTATTGAACGAATAATTTTTGTGTTACGTTAAGGGCATTCACATCCCTTAACACAAAAATTATTCGTTCAATAAAAAAGTAACACTCTCTCTCATCCACATCATCTCCACATCATATTTCCACTTAATCTCTATCCATTTAAACACACATCCACATTCCTACACATTCATTTAAATACATATATGGGACCCACATTATCCACTCATTTAATATAAATTTTAAATCTGTAAAAGAATAAAATAATATAGTTAAGAAATTAATTTAAAAAAAAAAAAAAAAGAAAAACAAGCCTGATGAACGCGTTCAACCTCTTGAACATAATCCTGGGCGCCACGCATTAACTGAATGGTCACAATGCATTGAACATTTATTCAGCGTTTAAATGGAGGAAATGAACAGGCGTTGCGGCTGCCCTAACACAGGAATTGTATTAACGCGTAACTAAACAAATATTAAATATCTTGTAAAAATCAACAGGATTTGTATTAATGCGAAACTAAACAAGTATTAAATAAATTGTAAAAAATGGATAACACTCGCGTTCGACAATTAAAATTATGCAAAATCATTTTCAGATTAAGTGGACAACTAAACTTAAACGCCGAGCCAAAAAACAACAATAATCACGAAGATTAATTGCAAAAAAATTCAACAGTATGTATTAAAGGATACAAAATCACTTTTCAGCGAACAGAAATTAAATAGATTTAGTGAGTAAAAAGCAAAACAGTATGTATTAAACAACGATATCCGCTGTTTTTCGTATGAATTTTTTAGATTAAACGCTACAAAATCTCACCAGTATGTATTAAAGGATACAAAATCACTTTTCAGCGAACAGAAATTAAAAAGATCTAGAGGTTAAACAGCAAAACAGTATGTATTAAACAACGATATCCTCTGTTTTTTGCATGAATTTTTTAGATTAAACGCAACAAAATCTCACTCTATCAGGATATCGTCAAAATTCGTAAAAAAACAGAAATTAAACGCTAGAATCGACATAACTTCAGCCAACAAAGATTAAATAACTATCAACTAACACACGTAAATCAATTAAAACAGCAAAACTCAAGTTCGTAGTAGGATAACTAAACTCATGCATTCTCATATATCAAACATAAATCAAGCTCAACAAAATAAGACTAAGGTTAAATGAATAGAATAATCTACGTACATTGTGTTTTGCTTTGAAACTTCACAAAACTTGAAACAGCACCTGGAAAAGAAAACACAGAATTAGAATAACAACTGAGAAGAAGAAAGTACAAACAAGTGAGGAGAGGAAAGTATAAAAACTGAAAAGAAGAAGTATAAACAGTGAACTTACAATCTAAAAAATGAAAATGGGCGATGAGGTCAAGTGGGTAGAGGGGGTCTATTTATAAGTACGAAGTTTGGAAAAAATTATATTGAATGAGTGGAGAATGGGTCCCATATATGTAGTTAAATGAATGAGTAGGAATGTGGGTGTGTGTTTAAATGGAGAGAGATTTATTGGAAATATGATGTTGAGATGATGTGGATGAGAGAGAGCGTTACTTTTTGATTGAATGAATGATTTGTGTGTTAAGGGATGTGGATGCCTAAAGGCATTCACATCCCTTAACACAAAAATTATTCGTTCAATAAAAAAGTAACACTCTCTCTCATCCACATCATCTCCACATCATATTTCCACTTAATCTCTATCCATTTAAACACACACCCACATTCCTACACATTCATTTAAATACATATATGGGACTCACATTATCCATTCATTTAATATAAATTTTAAATCTGTAGAAGAATAAAATAATATAGTTAAGAAAATTAATTTAAAACAAAAAAAAAAAAAAAAAAGAAAAACAAGCCTGATGAACGCGTTCACCCTCTTGAACATAATCCTGGGCCCCAAGCATTAACTGAATGGTCACAATGCATTGAACATTTATTCAGCGTTTAAATGGAGGAAATGAACAGGCGTTGCGGCTGCCCTAACACAGGAATTGTATTAACGCGTAACTAAACAAATATTAAATATCTTGTAAAAATCAACAGGATTTGTATTAACGCGAAACTAAACAAGTATTAAATAAATTGTAAAAAATGGATAACACTCGCGTTCGACAATTAAAATCCATTATGCAAAATCATTTTCAGAAAAATGGATAACACTCGCGTTCGACAATTAAAATCCATTATGCAAAATCATTTTCAGATTAAGTGGACAACTAAACTTAAACGCCGAGCCAAAAAACAACAATTATCACGAAGATTAATTGTAAAAAAATTCAACAGTATGTATTAAAGGATACAAAATCACTTTTCAGCGAACAGAAATTAAATAGTTTTAGTGAGTAAAAAGCAAAACAGTATGTATTAAACAACGATATCCGCTGTTTTTCGTATGAAATTTTTAGATTAAACGCTACAAAATCTCACCAGTATGTATTAAAGGATACAAAATCACTTTTCAGCGAACAGAAATTAAAAAGATCTAGAGGTTAAACAACAAAACAGTATGTATTAAACAACGATATCCTCTGTTTTTTGCATGAATTTTTTAGATTAAACGCAACAAAATTTCACTCTATCAGGATATCGTCAAAATTCGTAAAAAAACAGAAATTAAACGCTAGAATCGACATAACTTCAGCCAACAAAGATTAAACAACTATCAACTAACACACGTAAATCAATTAAAACAGCAAAACTCAAGTTCGTAGTAGGATAACTAAACTCATGCATTCTCATATATCAAACATAAATCAAGCTCAACAAAATAAGACTAAGGTTAAATGAATAGAATAATCTACGTACATTATGTTTTGCTTTGAAACTTCACAAAACTTGAAACAGCACCTGGAAAAGAAAACACAGAATTAGAATAACAACTGAGAAGAAGAAAGTACAAACAAGTGAGGAGAGGAAAGTATAAAAACTGAAAAGAAGGAGTATAAACAATGAACTTACAATCTAAAAAATAAAAATGGGCGATGAGGTCAAGTGAGTAGAGGGGGTCTATTTATAAGTACGAAGTTTGGAAAAAATTATATTGAATGAGTGGAGAATGGGTCCCTTATATGTAGTTAAATGAATGAGTAAGAATGTGGGTGTGTGTTTAAATGGAGAGAGATTTATTGGAAAGATGATGTGGAGATGATGTGGATGAGAGAGAGTGTTACTTTTTGATTGAATGAATGATTTGTGTGTTAAGGGATGTGGATGCCTAAGGGCATTCACATCCCTTAACACAAAAATTATTCGTTCAATGAAAAAGTAACACTCTCTCTCATCCACTGTAATGCCCCGTTTATTTGTGGATTATTTGGGATTTAATTATTATTATTTTTATTGCTATTATTATTGTTATTATTAATTGGTAATNAGATTAAGTGGAAATATGATGTGGAGATGATGTGGATGAGAGAGAGTGTTACTTTTTTATTGAACAAATAATTTTTGTGTTAAGGGATGTGGATGCCCTAAGGGCATCCACATCCACTTAATCTCTATCCATTTAAACACACACCCACATTCCTACACATTCATTTAAATACATATATGAGACCCACATTATCCACTCATCTAATATAAATTTTAAATCTGTAAAAGAATAAAATAATATAGTTAAGAAATTAATTTATAACAAAAAAAAAAGAAAAACAAGCATGATGAACGCGTTCAACCTCTTGAACATAATCCTGGGCCCCACGCATTAACTNAGACCCACATTATCCACTCATCTAATATAAATTTTAAATCTGTAAAAGAATAAAATAATATAGTTAAGAAATTAATTTATAACAAAAAAAAAAGAAAAACAAGCATGATGAACGCGTTCAACCTCTTGAACATAATCCTGGGCCCCACGCATTAACTGAATGGTCACAATGCATTGAACATTTATTCAGCGTTTAAATGGAGGAAATGAACAGGCGTTGCGGCTGCCCTAACACAGGAATTGTATTAACGCGTAACTAAACAAATATTAAATATCTTCTAAAAATCAACAGGATTTGTATTAACGCGAAACTAAACAAGTATTAAATAAATTGTAAAAAATGGATAACACTCGCGTTCGACAATAAAATCCATTATGCAAAATCATTTTCAGAAAAATGGATAACACTCGCGTTCGACAATTAAAATCCATTATGCAAAATCATTTTCAGATTAAGTGGACAACTAAACTTAAACGCCGAGCCAAAAAACAACAATAATCACGAAGATTACTTGTAAAAAAATTCAACAATATGTATTAAAGGGTACAAAATCACTTTTCAGCGAACAGA